CCACAGCCAAAAAGAGTCGCCAACTCAGCCTAACCAGCTCGCTTCCGAGTCCGGCGGGGGGAAGGAGGGGAGGAGGTGGGACGAGGCCGGCGCCGAGACCTCTCCGGTAAGGACTCCACCCTCCGCCGGGAGCGGCGGCCGGGCTTCAGGGAAGCGGGAGAGGAGCTCCCGCGTTCGGCTCTGCAACGTGCAAGGCGCCGCACCACACACCACCGCACCACCTAATTACCGGGGGAAGGGGCGGGGGATGATCGTCATCGGAGTCTTGGTCGTCAAGATGGCCGTCTGGAGCCTCGCCGTCGCCCCCCACCGCCGCGTCCACCTGAGCCGGGTCAGGAGGGGAGCGAGGAGGAGGTGGCGCCCGTCGCCGCTTCGACGGCGGAGCGCTGTCTAGGCCGGCAGCCGCAGCCTAGCCGCCTGTCCGCGCGGGGCCGGAGCAGTCACGAAGTCCCCGGTAGACGCCTCCACCTGAGCTGGTTCAGGAGGAGGAGGAGGGGGATGAGGAGGCGGAGCGGGCCGCCGCTTCGAGGGCGGAGCGTTGCCTGGGCCAGCAGCAGCCGGCCGCCGCGCCGCCGGCCCCGCAGGGGCCGGAGCCGAGCCAGAGTCCCGGGGCAGAGCCTCCAGGATGAGGATCCCGAGCTTGCACGACATGACCTGAAGCCGGGACCTGTCCTGAGTAGTGGGGCCGGCGATCGTAGTGATCCAGCCCGTCTTGGCCGTGACCCTGGGCTGGGCAGCCCACCAGGCCTCATCGACCCCATAGGTTCGCCCGAGGGCGACGCGATCGGGCCGAAAGCGGGGGCACTCGGCCCAGAAGTGCCGGGCGGACGCGGCGGGGTGCTCGCAGAACGGGCAGGGGGCCTCAGCGTGGGCCCGTCGAGTAGGGGTCCGAGCGGCGCCGCCGCGCCAGACCGACAGCAGACTAAGCTCGTCCGTAGTATAAGGCCCTCGCGCCACTGGCTCCACGGGGCCTTAGAGGACGCCTCGATGACGACGTCCGCCATGCCCTCCTCGTCGTGGCGGGGCCTCTGGGGGCGCACCTGCAGAAGCTGGGCACGGGCGCAGACCCGGAGGACGTGCTGCCCGCTGGGCGACGAGGCGTCGAAGTAGGGCGGGAGGCCAGAGGAGGCCACGGCCCCAGCCACGGCGGCCGCCGCCCGGGGGTCGAGAGCGGGCCCAGCGCGGACCCAGACGGGCAGCAGCCCAGGCGATTCGGGGTGGGACACCAGCCCGAAAGTGGCCGCGTGGTGGGCCACGCACGACCGCCAGAGGGGCGACCGAGGGAAGCGGGCGGCCTGGCGGAGAGCCTGGAGGGAAGTGCCGAAAACGGGGTGAAGCTCGAAGCGCTCGGCCCACCAACGCCTATAGTCCCACCAGGTGCAGCGGGTGCGGGCGACACACCAGAAAGTGAGCTTGATAAGGGAGGCGGGGGGGCACCCCACGAAGGGGGCGGCCCAACGGTACTTCGAGGCCACAGACATGACCGCGGTGAGGGCGCGGATGCCAGTGCTCCCGGGGATGTGCAACAGCTTGCGAGTGCAGTCCTCGATGACCCCCCATCCGTCGCGAGGGCCCGGGACGGGAGGGGAGGCGAGGTGGCTCCCAGGGCACGCCCAGATGCCCAGGTGCTCCGCGTCCTCGTCGTCCTCCCAGAGCTGCCGCTTGCCGGTGTGTTCGGTGAGCCCGAAGCGGCCGTCGAGGGCAGTCGTGACCTCAAGGGCCGCGGCGCGGGCGCCAGTGTGGGCGCACTTGAGGCTCCTGCCGTCGACGTAGGACCAGGACCCGACCTCGGCACGGGCGCGCATAGCATAGTGCCAGGGAAGCAAAACGACCCCCAGGACCCGGCCCGAGCAGGGGCACCCAGCAGGGATGCCGGCAGTGGGGTGGAGGGCCGGGGCCGTGGCCCCGGAGACGCAGCAGATGCGGGGAGCGGCCCACGTGTGCCTGAGACAGCGCACAACCTGATGCGGGGTGCCTAAGTGAAGCAACGCCTCGGCGGCCACCGAATGCGACACCGAATCGTAAGCCTTAGTGAGGTCGATTTCCGCTCCACACCGCCCCGGCGCGGCCGCCCAGTCCGCGGTGGACCAGACGGCGCCCCGTTCGCCGACCGCCTCGGGAGGGGGGGGGGCAAGCTGGGCAGGAGGGCGGAATGCCACGACCTGAGCCACACAGGGGCCACCGCCACGGGCCGGGCGTCGTCCGAGCCTCGCTTCGGGACACCCGCAACTTTCACCGACGCCAAAACGGCGACGCGCTCCGAGGGCCACGCGTCCTCCTCGCACAGGATGGCCTTATGAGGATCCCATGGAGTTCGGAGACAAGCCATGGCATGTGCTTCACCATGCCCTGGAGCTCGGCGCCCTCCCAGCCGTCCCAGCCGGGGCCGCCCTCGTCGGCGTTGAGGGCGTTGCTGAACGCCTCCAGGGAGGGAGGGGGGGCCCAAGAGCGGGGAGGGGAGGCGGCGGGAACCCCCCAGTCGCGGGTAGCGCCCGTCCAG